TGCCACACATACCAAACATTACGTAAAGTCAATACACGATTCAGGGCGTCGGTGCAACGTGTGAAACGATTTCTACCAAGGCTTCATGTTTCTGGTGGATTGAAGTCTTGTTTAATCAGCGCTCGAAGCCTTCTAAAAAGTATGGTCCTTTAAGCGGTCTATTGATCGAGCTGAAGAAAATCATTTCTAGTCCAAAGTGGGCTAATGCTTGGCTGGAAGTTCAAGTGAATGAACTCGATTGGTACGTAATCAATGGAATTTTTTGGAAGAGAAATTGACTGGAATTGATGATAAACTAGCATGCTATTGTTGATGTTATCATTCGTGTTAAAGTCGTTAGTAGTGATGCACCATTTTAGAGCAGTTTGAATGACTTCGCTGTATCACATGTTAATCCAAAAGTATTATTATCAGTAGTGTTACTGAAATTTTGAACATCAATGTTATTCAGTGTCAAATGATTTAATGAAGCATTTGAGTTCATTTATAAGAATGACTATCTTGATTTATTCAATTTTGAACCTAGGATGTTACATTTCTAGCCCTCTATGGCTTCACTCCACCTCGGTAACAGTTCATGTACCATATGACTATACGTGGAAACTGTTGAGCTTTCTTTTTTCATTTATTTATTTATCTATTAATTTTCTCCCCTCACGACGGAGAGAAGAGATGAAGATAAAAAAATGAAACAAAAACTTGAGATTGACTGCGGTATATATTTTTTCCCGATATTTCGGTTCGGGAACTGATGAACCTGTCTTAAGGGGCTAAAGGAAAAAAAAAGAATGGTTCATTAGACCATCAACTGACTATCATGTGTTGAATGCTGTAGCTCAAGAGTTCAATTTGACGCTTGCGCGGAAAAAAGCCACATGTCGAGACCTGTGATCGTGAAATGGGATAAGATATGATTGGTCAGTAGATATCTAGCTCTGTAAGTCACTTTATCATATAGCTAGCAGCGCCCACGGTCAAGATGAAGTGAATCCTGTGTTCTGATTGGATACCTGAGCGGGCAAGATGATTCCCTCGCCCGTTCGAGATTCCCCGAATTGATACCGCGCAAGAAAACTCACAAAGTTCGTAAATTTTGGACAATGTTGACATATACATAGAAAAAATTAAACGACCCTCTTGGGTTTATTGTACTACAAAAACCGTTGGCTTTCACTCTCGGCTCTCGAAAATAAACAAGTCATTCTTGATTCTTATCAAAGCGAAATCTTTTTCTATACAATGAATCCCTTAACGTTTAAGCCAAGAGAATATAAACTCTCTTGCATTGACCAAGCTTGTTCGGTCAAGATGACTGGATATTAGCCTCGTTCTTTTTCTCCTTTTTTTTGGACCAAGACTTCGTCTCAGTCCCTAAAAACGCAAAAAAAAAACTCGGCCAATATCCAGCCATTTGACCTCACGCTTGGTCAATAACGCATGGGAATATATTTCATGCAGACTCATACAAATCTGGCAAGGGAAGACAGTACAAAAAATGCACTTCCGAGCCCGGAATTTGTCAGACGTATAGGTCAGTGGAGTACCTTGTTCTTGTAACGCGGTTCATAAGGTGTTAACTTCAGCACTGATCACACAAGTTATCGTCAAAATCTGTTTCACTTAAGAGTTTGAGCCAATGATATAAAGAGAGCTCTTCGTCAGCGTTCTCATTGTTTTTGCGTCTGTCAGTTTGATGCCAAAAGCACATCAGTATAAGGTTTGTAGACAATGCTTCTCAACCTACGTCTTTAGCATATAAAAAGATGCTGATTAACATCAGCGAGCCCGCAATATGCCATGAGGATTGGTCAGAGGATTCTTTGGTGCAACAGCTGTCACTTTAACATCTCAATGTGGATGTCTGCTATAACAACAGTGCGCTAGCGCAGTTAAACGATTGCATTGGAGGCTTATTACATTTAGGACCAAACGTTATTACATTTAGGACTTTATTACACTTAGGACCAAATGTTATTAATGTAATAATAATGTAAGGACTTTATTACATTTAGGACTTCAACAGAGGCTATCGTCGTAGAGCCGGTCAAACGGAAAACCAGTGAGTTTATAGTAATCTGATTCAAGTTAATCTCAAGGAGGGATTTTAATAAAGAAAAACTTCTTTAGTTTAAGCGCAGCATTGCCATATGACCCATTTCGCCCAATAGCTAAATGAATAGTTCTTATGCATCGACTTTCACACAGCACTTGGATTCGCCACCATCTAATTCAGTAAAACTTGTTTCTTTATTTATCTCGTTGCAGCGCTATTATCGCAATGACATTGCTACTGTTGCTACTGTTGCTACTTTTAGTTTCTTAAGAGTAGGGAGAATTGATGGCTCGTAGGATGGAATTTCGGAAACCCAGGTTAGGGAGAATACATGGCCGCTTCGAGCTTGTTCGTAAAAGGCGTCTTCGAAGCCGGTACGGAGCAGAGGGCCGATAACATTGAAAAGTAAAATCTCCTCGATGACAACGATCGAAACGCGTCCATTTTCGACATAAAGCTACATCCTTTGGAAAGTAGTGTATAGAAATACTTGGTATATGTGCTTTAGGGATTTTTCTTGTGGCTAACATCGTTTGGCGCTCCGACCACGCAATACATTCGTCCTTTCCTCTGGATTTCTCCTCTCTCCACCACAGTTGCCAACGTGCCTTCACAGTTTTTTACGTAACAGCTATGTAATATGATCGTTTTGGCCGCGCTTGATGGGGACACTTTTTGGCCGCCAAATCTTCCTTTTAATGCACAAAAAAGTGGACGAGGAGAACTTGCCAGCCGCTAAGGTCGATTGTTTCTAATTTAAAATACTGCTATCAGCCAGAAAATTAAAAAAAAAAAAAAATTCGTGTCATAGGCACTTTAAAAACGCAATGAAAGAGCGAGGTTAACATCATGCCTTTTTGACCGTACAAGCTTGGTCAATAAAGAATTTTGCACCAGGTTTCACTTTTATAATAGATATTTATCAAGAGATTATCATGTCTTTTGTTTATGTAGGCCTATTTTTCTTACACGAGATGGCTATGCACGGGTAAATTGTTAAATGCAAAACTGTTTCTTTCTTTTGGAAGGAACCGGCTCGTCAACCATAGGACAAGATTGAGGAGCGGTGCAGTACTATCATTATAACTCAGCTGAGGATCGTCGAAATCTTTGAAGCCTATCTTTATTACAGAAGCTTGATGGTTCACTCCAGCTATTAGATAATTCGAATACTACTGAAAGACAACATGCACCTGTTCAGATACTTATATTTACATGTCATTGCATTTTAAGTTTGGAATAAGTTAGCTTTCTTAATTCAGTGTTCTCGGTTCTTTCTCGGGCTGTCTACTTGATATTCTTCATAGTCATCTATCTTTCTTGCTGGGCGAATATTCATTCAGGTACCCAAGGAAAATTCTCGTGATTGAATTTACTTTTTTTGGAGGCTTTTCGGTAATTTTTCTTCTTGAGGCTTCACTTTGTGAAAGCAACGAAGGAAAACATTCCTGGATATTTAGGAAATATCTACGTTCAGTAAATTTGGATCATTAATTAAGATACATATTTTAATGGTTGTAATTCTTAATTGAATTTGTTTACTAATTAGAATCACGACCCCACACTCGTTTAGTTTTATTATTATCGAGTTTGAATAAAGATTCTATATATCTATCGGACTCATTTTTTGGTTAGGACTGGATCACTAAGGAAAAAGGAATAGGAAAAAAGGACTCTTCCGTGACTCGGATTTTCAGTTGGATAATATCATATCCTTCCAAACTTGTTACCTGACTGCAGTGTTTAAGTATGATCAGGAAATATTTCCAGGGTATGCTTGCGTTGACCCAAATTTCTTTGCACGAAAATCAAGTACGAGCAAGGAGAAGAGTCAAAGTTTTTCTTTGTTTCAAAGATTAGAACTTATTTTTTATCTATGTCGCTCTCGTTGTCTCTGGCTCTCCGTCTTCAAAGGTCGTAATGAGGGGCTTCAAGCTGGGAAATAAAGGTTGAGTATATGGTCACATTATCATTTATTAGGTTATCTGTCGTAATGTCGTCGAGATGAAATAGTGAAATGCTAGTGTCATCGGCCGTGCAAGTGACATGACTTGTGGTTACATATATACAGTGCACAACCAGTCACTTCTAGCCTTGTGCTGCTTGCGATAAGGTGAAAAACGGCTACGGGATTGGAACGAGCCGGAGTGGAACGAACGGGTTAACATTAGAGAATTTCCACTTTTGGGTAAATCAATCTGGAAGCTTTTATTGTGTGTGTGGTGTGATTTTCGCCTGGTATTTTCTAGAAAACTTTTGTTAACACCATCCTCTACCATTTTCAGGAAAGCAGGGAAAAATTATGCTCGGACTTTGTTTGTTATTCCTTTTACCATCTGGTAAGTATACATTCAAAAAGGATGAAAGCTTTCAATTGCGTCAAAATTGTTGAGTCGTGGCTGGATCAGAAGCAATTGATGATAACTTACAGTAACTTATCTTATGGCAGTGTCAAGTATTATTTCCCAACTTTTGTAGAATTGATTTGTTTCTTTAGCGACCAGATTGATTCCGTAAAAGGTATTTATTCGTTTGCATCAGCAGTCTAAAGCAAATTTCGTCGATCAGTGTGCCCAAAACCTTCTTTTTTTTTTTTTAAATTCGCCGTTATGCCCAGATAAAAGTAATTAAAGATTGATACCAAACGTTGAGTTGAATTGTAACGGCTGCCAAAATCAAGTGATATTCACAGGTTGTAATCGATGACATTGTCATTCGTCTCAGAGTTATGATGTAATTTTTTTGGAGAAACTTTTAACACTCCTCAGTTCGTCGTTTTTCTCTTATCAATTGCGTAATGGAATTTTTACGTTGATCGTTGTGGTCGACTCTTGAAAATTACATTCCGTTTAGTAGTCCTTTATACATTGAATGCCTATAAAAATAAAATCAATGAATTGCCATATTTTGAATTTGCCTTTATGTAGTATTAACTGCTCTTCCAAATGTCCAAAGATTCAAGTATGAAGATATACCATGGCATGGATTATCTTATGGCTCCGCAGGTTACCCAGCTCCATTAAGTGTTCCAAGTACGATTTGGGCCTTCATAACTATTGTTTGGTTTTTCTGTACAAACAGAGAGAGTGACGATAAATGCATTTAGAAAGGAAAATACTCAAAGGTTATAGATATGTTGATTACCACTATAATTATCGATAGCCATGATCATAACAGAGATAAAACACCCCATTGTCCATATAGTTATTGAATATATTGGGAAAGATGTTGAATTTTAGGAGCTCGATCTTTTAGCCATAAAAAGAGATGTTAATCGTTTTCAAACTATTTACTTGCACGACGCTATGGACATCGCTTATCTTAGCAATAAGCAGGTTGTTTGTCATATATGAACGAAGTCTTTTCCCTGTTTCACCAACGAATTCTCTATGGCTCAGTAATAGAGCAATGACGGAAAAATTTCGATGTTCTGAGAGTCAATCATTCATGTGGGAATAACATCTCTCGATAACTTAGAAATAGCTCAAATGTTAATCACGATATGATAAACAGCTTCGATTTTTCATTTTAAAAATGTTCTCGACTTAAAATGTGCGAATAAAAAAAGTAAAAAACGGTTGTTAAAACTACTAATTGACAGTTAAACCACCAGATTGAATATTGCAAGCACCTGCATCTCTATAATAGATGCTGTCCGTGAAACAATCAAAGGCATCGTCTCTTTTCAGTTGACGTCAAGTCATGTATTCATGATTACTGCAGTCCCTAAAAAGCTTTCAGGTATGTCTTTTTTTTTGTTTTGGTTTGATTCCAAGTACCCAAGTATGCCGATTCAAGGTTCGGCTGCAGTAGTCGTAAAAGAATAAGGAATATGATTAATGGAGAGATTTCGTAACTAATTGATTATTATGAACCGGCGAAATGGATTCATAAGGGGACAGTTGTAACTTAATTGCCTTCAAAATCCAAACCAAAGGAATCAGAAATGCCACTTAGAAAAAATTTGCGGGAAATATTGCAAGGACCTTAAAAGAACTTAGGGGAGAAACAACTGCATCAAGAGAACGGCTTGGAGCAGGGAAACGGCAGTACAAAATTTGTTTGTTTTGTTTTGTTGTTGTTGTTTTTTCCATAAAAGTGGTCGAGAGGGTGGCAAGAGTATTTTAAACCAATCGCTGAATGAATTAAAGAAAAGACATTGCAATCCCGTGTTGCCTTCGACGCTCAGTGGAAGACTGCACCGAGCGATCTAAAGATTTTAGTTGAAGTTGAGCCTTAAAAATGATTTATTTTCAGGATTTTATACAACAATTGATTTGGCTTCGTCTAGAACGTCAAATTAACGTCACCAGTTTTATTTCGATTTCATCTTCGGTTATACTATAACACTACAGGCCGGAGTTGCTCTTGGGATAACTGGATAAAGCTATCCAGTGGAAAGGGCAGTGCGATTTTTTGACACAATTATTAATCTGTTGGTTAGTGTTATCTACCCGGTGAACAACTGGACCCAATATATAAAGACTGAATGAAGAGACTGGCTTAATAAGTTATAAATTTAGCAGGCATTTCCGTCTTGCTTAATTACTTCAATTCACATACATTGAGCAGGACCTAAATTTTAAAGAAATCAAGCCATGCATCGTAAGTCAGCATAGCGTTGTTTACTGTTTTAAATGTGATTTGTGTGATTCAAATTACGTCGGATATACGACGCGCCATTTGTTTCAACGCATTGCTGATCATCGATACTCTGTTATTGGTCGCCACCTGAGAGATGCCCATGGGAACATTGACTTACTCAATGAGAGCCAGTTTAGAATGCTTAAAAAATGTGGCACGAAATGGGATTGTCTTGTTTATGAAATGTTGTACATAAGAACAATAAGGCCCAATTTAAACACCCAGAGCGATTCCATTAGGGCCAAACTCTTTGTTTAACTTTTAACGCTTTGTAATTTATTCACCGCTTCATTATACATATACTCGATTTTATTATTCTAGTTCACTTGATAATGACGTTCTGGAAACGTCGAAACGTCGTGTTATGTTTTACAATATTTTATCGCAGATTTTTATTGTCAAATGCTTTACCAAATCTTTACTTATTCGAATTCACATACAACTTGCTTTAAAACAGGGACTATTCATACCGTTTATGCCCCTTGGGATTGAATCACATTTTCACAGAGGAAGAAAGTGGACCATGCTTTGTCAAATTCTACTTGAGGCAAACATTCTCTGAGAAGTCTTCTCCCTCGATTTGACAAACTTTTGTCTTGGGTGAAAGAGATAAAAAACTCGCCTTCAATAACATTGAACGCATGCTGTAGTTGATGAGTAACTTGAGCTTCGTATAAGCTTGGATCACTCGTATAAATAGTAACAGTCCAATCAGTGCATCCTACCCTTGGTGACAGAGCACCAAAACTGACAGATCTGGGAATACCATCTTCGCCACATTTGTCGACAGCGAAATAGAAATCTTGACCGAGTTCACGTTGGAAATGATCGATATTTGATTGTGAAGCCTCCATGGGAATCCAATCAAGCACAATGGAGTTATCGGGAAACAATTTCTGCGCAACAGAGCTTGAAAAGATTGTGTCACAGAGGTACTCTTTCGCACAAGGCTCTATCAGATCTGAGAAATTAACTTTAAGAGAATTGAGCGCCAAAAGACTCCTATTTACAGCAGATGTCCTTATATTTGTCATCTGTGTAATTTCTCTCGCGGGGGAAGGACACGTTGTGGATGCGAATATCTCTCGCTGTACATTCGGGTATTGTCTTCGCACGAATTCGTTCATTGCTTCTGATAGCCGTTTGTAAACACCCTGACCACGAAACTCCAGTAATGTCCTGGCGGCCTGTCGAACTGCTGTTCTTCCATCGTTAACAAACGAGCACTGAACTAGTCCAACAAGTTTTTTGCTCGCGTGAGCTAACATCACCGCAACGTTGTCCATTTGCATCCAGTTATGAAATCTGACTGGAAGATAGTCTTGGCCATCATAAACACCCTCTGATAGTATTAGGATCTCGTCAAAATCGCTGGTTTGAGCAAGGCGGAATATCAGCTCAGTACTCATATCTTATCTCTCTTTGTAGCACAGCTTTAGGGTTAGTCGGTATTCCCAAGGAAACGAGTGATCGTATCACTGCACTTAAAGGGGCGGCGTCATTACCATGACAAAAACGACTTTATTCTTTTTGTTTAGCTGCGTTTAGTGACGCATTTATTGCACGTAAGTCGCTTTTCCAGAAGGAATGAAACTAATGATAGTATTAGGATCTCGTCAAAATCGCTGGTTTGAGCAAGGCGGAATATCAGCTCAGTACTCATATCTTATCTCTCTTTGTAGCACAGCTTTAGGGTTAGTCGGTATTCCCAAGGAAACGAGCGATCGTATCACTGCACTTAAAGGGTGGCGTCATTACCATGACAACTCCATAGCGGATTAAACGTGAACCTCAAAAATTGAGGTTGTTAAGTATTCATATATTCAGGCTATTGTTCTTTCTCATTTCTTATTCATTCCGATGAGTTTGCCGACATGCTGGCATGCTTCCGAAGATCGTGAAGAGCGCAATTCTTTGATGTAGGTGAGATATTTTTCTTTTGTTAACAGATGAAATAAACTCTCCCGGGAATCTGCTTGATTGATGTCCAACTAGACCCTGTGAGCAGGGTAACTGGGATACCTGAATGGTACTGGATCCGTGGAATCAAGTGTAGTGATACTACGCGTGTCGGACTAGTATACTGAAATAGTGAGCTCAAGTCTGGCCAAGGGCATACACCTGTCTCAAAACATAGGCATGCTATGCATACAAGAGAAATTTTTTCTAGGGTGGGTTGATTACTTGAAACATTGTAAGTGGTCTACATTCTTAAAAAAGGAAAGAAGATTATTAACGCGGGAAAGAATGAAAATGTCGAATTACCTCACACACAGGTATTTTGTGGTAGATTATGTGTGTTGTGCGAATAAATGTAACCAAAAATAAACTGTATTTGTGCCACGGATACCTGTTAGTACAAAATGTAGACAGCAGACTGCAGACCGGATACAAAATATAGACTGCAGAGTGGGTAAAAAATGCAGACTGAGAATCTGAAGAGTTTTTACGTCTGGTATATAACATGTAATAACATGTCATCTTACAGCTTACCGAGCGTCACGCAATCGCTTTTCCGCGATCAGCCTTGCACTATTGTGGAAAATTCCTGGCCCATTTCTTGATGAAAATCGATCGTAATATAATTTCAAGCCTTCAACATAGTCTTCTTACTTTGCGCGCGAGTTGGTTGGTGTGATGTCTGTACAGATTTCACCAATGTAATAAAAGTAGATGACGTGAATAATAGTGATGGTAAAGCAAGCTTAAAACGGCAACAATCGCCAGAAACTACAACGGATACACAGGGTATGAGTAAGTTTTATTGATTTTTCGAGAAAAATCTTCATATTTCGAAATATTTATCGTTGTAAATTGACCATATTTCGTTCCCTATACTATTCCTTACAACGTGTTCAAATTTTCAACGGTTCCTAGAATAACTTACTCTGAGTCACACAACGCTTGACGCGTTCGTGAATTCATCGTGGAAAGCACTATATAACATCGTCCTAAACCAGATGAGCCCACGACATATCAGCGGCATCTTGTATGAGTATCCGCAGTTTACAATGTGACTTCCGCTTATTCTTGTTAAAGCGTATTTTACAGTGTACTCATGGAATAGGAAGTACGTTTGAGCCAGTTTCTGGCAGATTTGAACAGAAAAGCGGGTCTTTTGTTGGAGTGTAATGACATTTTGATCGATGGCGCTGTTAACGAAACGTTTGGCTGGTTCGTAAGTTGTCGACCTGGTTTCGGTCGATCTGATTAATTGACAACACCCCTAGGGCAATACATATCATCGTCCCAAACCAGATGAGCCCATGACACGTCAGCGGAATCGTAGCGAGAGTCTTCTATTTTTCTGCTCGTTTCCGGCGAATCAAGAGACCGTGACCTGTGTGACTGACGATAAAGCGTCGTATTCTTCAATATTTTATTGCGAAAGTATTCTTCCCATAACTTGTACAAACTAATTTCTGTCTAGATCACATATTTAAGAAAAAATCTAGCCTGTTATAAAGGCGTTAAAAGGAGGATCGACACTTAAATATGACCGGCCTAATAGTTTCGGTCGATGTTATCCTCTGACCTCGCTATCATCGACCAAAAGCAGATTCAGGTCAAAGATCATTTGCATAACTTTGCACTGTAAAATCTTTCGATTGGAACAAACATACAGTTCTTTTCTGTTTGTAATAAATTATCTTTACGTTTTATTTGACCATGATCTCTTGGTTTTTGTTCAACATCTTATTTGCTACTAATAAATATATTTGCCAAGGGGTGGTCCAGTTAATATTTAACACTCATGCATTTATGTTTTGCGGCTCGCGGGTAAATATTGGCGGGAAATCTAAATGTTTGGTAGAAGAACAAACATGGCTGATAACAGTACACCTTGGGCTTCAAGATGGACCGTACAGTTTGACCCTTATTCCGGGTATGTTAACGATGAAAGTAGCGCTGACGAACTCATAAGACAGTACGAGATAGCTACGACGACACGCTTCACTGTATTTAAACAAACAGGAGGATTTTCAAATTGCAGTAGGCTGGGTAAGTAAGCTCACATGTAAAGATTTACAAAATAAACCATACTGACAGTAAAGTAAAGTGAAGTATAACTTTATTTAGACACTATAGGTATTTAAAGCCAGGGGCGTGTGAGATCGTGTTATTAACATGAAATATAGATAAATCAAAATAAAAAAAGGGATTTAACTTTTTTCCAATAATTATTGATATCTTAAGAATACATGTACACATCATTATTCTTCGGTTTACCCTGGTCAGTTAGACTTTCAAAATTAACATGTAATTAAAATTCAACTTAGCTTCAAGTGTCAATTTACTGTGAGCCTGCAGCAAGAGTTGGCAAGAAATGCTTAATTAATTAAGATCAAGCTTAAAGTGTCAAAACCCTACTCAGTGCTATTGACATACAGCTGCCAGCATCCCCATCTATTACACCAGTCCTTGGGCTACATCTGGGTGGGGCAGGCTAGATTTTCAGGCCCTCCATTTTAAGCACCCATGTGTACATATGTACGTATGTGTTTGTGTACATGTATCGTATTGCTAACTTAGCTTGGTTCCTCTTCTCACATAAAAGAAAATGCAGATAAAAATGCTAAGAACCACCGTATACAATGGGCTGACTCACAGGAGATGACAGGATGCAGACTAAGTTTTGATGGCATCCCATTCCAAATTGTGGGGGTCAAAGTTTTAGAATGCCAAAATGGGCCAGACAGAAATAAGGCACTCAAAAGGAAGGAGGCTCAAAAGAGACTACAAAAAGATGTAAGCATGCATAATAATTAACTAAATAAGAATGTAAACAAGATGATATTATTACTTAAGGACTCCCAAAGAGGATATCATATGTAGGGCATTACATAGTTATTGATTTACCTTCACCTATTTGCTCTTAAGCTAACAAGGTGGTAAGTCCCAAATGATTTTTCTAAGCAAGTTGGTGAGCACTCACCTCTCCCTCAGGGCTAATAGCAGGCAATAATGTTTTCTTTTTTACCACTTGCAAGTAAAAGGACATATCACATTTTATTTGTTAAAATAAGCAAAGTCGCAAAAAAGGACCACTGTGACTGCAGTTTACAAGGTAGGAATCAAGTACTATTTTAAAGGATACTTTTCATTACTTCTAAGTTTATTGATAACTTGACTATTCCCATATGACTGCTCTATCTAACAATCCAATAAATCTATTTGGTTTCAGAAGGAGAATGCTGATCACTGCTATAACAACACCAAACAGCGCTTTATAGTACAGGATACGAAGAAATGTGAGTGTCCAGCAAAGATCCACCTAAGGAAAATAATCAAGTATCCTGAAAATAAGGTCAGTTTATTTTAATTATTGAATAAGGGTTCAGGGGGCACTACCATTAACATGAATGATCACTAGCCTAATAAAGGGTGCTTAATCCTAATGGGCCTTGTGTTACATGTAGGTGAAGTGGACATATGATAAGACAACCTGGACATTTCGTTGTGCAGAATTGAAACAAATTTACCTGTAATGGAAACAGAGTGAATATTTTAGAAACCAATTTTTCAAATATTATTTTAATTAAAACATTGTATCGTTAGATTTCAGAGAACACAAAGAGTAGAAGGGAGACAATGTCAAAATTTCTGAGAACATCCCTAGAGTCAGAAAAGAAGCAAACAATAGCTACAGAGGAGTGTATTTACATATTACTTCCTAAACCTACGGATCACTTATTTCACCCCATGGGGAGGGTAAGTACTTGGCCATCAATTAAATTTTTTTTGGAATCAGGAAACTGAAGTTTGGTGGGGAATTTAAGGTGACTTAACTTCACACAGATCATCAGTCTACTGTAGACTGTGCTGCTTCCACTGTCATGTCGAATATATATAAAGAATGAATAAAGATTATACATCACAACAAAAGACCAATAAAAATTAATGTACTACATGTAGAGCTTCTTTTAGCTACACTGGCACTCATTCCTCAAACTCAATGTCAAGACTATAATATCACAATTTTATCGGAGAGGGATTTCCACTGGCACTGTTTTAATGGAATGCTGTCATGGACTTTTTAAATGGATTTTCTTAAAAAATACAGTGTTCAGTACTCTGTAATTATAACATTCTGTAACTATTACTGAAAAGCCCTACCAGAGGACTGCCGATAGTAATGTTGGTATAATTTGCATTATTATTGATTCAAAATATTTCCCTTTTTCTGAAAGGTTAAAACCACTCACATATTTCATCATAACCAGCTGCTGTTGACCAAATTTGGAAAAAATGTTCTCATATTGAACCAATGACATCAAAAGCAGCTGGCTCCAGGTTATTGAACCGTTGACCAAGAAAACCTGGGGATGAGGTTGTGTAATTTTTTGAATGAATAAATAATAAAGCAATTATTCTTTCTTTCTTGTTGTGTAATCAGACTGCTGGGCTACTTCAGCCTATTGATGAGACACTGGTTAAAAAAATTCATGAGCTTGTTGGAAGTGGTGTTAATTGTGTTTCTGAAATGCAACGGTACCTGCATCATTATGTAAAGAAGGAACTTTTCACAGGCCAACAGCCTCCAGATCTAACCAACAGACGGTTCTTCCCAACAACCATGGATGTCAGGAACCACATGTATCGTGCCACAGTGGTGTGCAGACATTCACAAATTGATCAAGAAAACCTTGACTTAAAAATCAAGAAGTGGAAAGAAGAAAGCCCAGATGATAATTTCTTTTTCAGGCCTTACTGCCTTACAAGTGATAGTGAGTCCTACCAACAACCACAGTCACTGAAGGAAGAAGACAGCACTGATGTAATTAAAATAAGTATAGGTGATCCATCCAACAACCTCCTCCTTGTTCACCAGACGAAGTGGCAAAGAGAGCTGCTTTTTAAGTATGGTGGTGAAATTTGCCTACTGGATGCAACATACAAAACTTCACGCTATGCCCTCCCCACATTCTTTCTGTGTGTGAAAACCAATGTAGATTACTGTGTTGTTGCTTCTTTTGTGGTTCTGCTGGAAAATGCAGATGCCATTAATGAAGCTCTACAGCTCATTAAGGACTGGAACCCAACATGGAACCCTGATTTCTTTATGGTGGACTTCAGTGAGGCTGAGATCAATGCCATTGAAAGGCTGTTTCCAAGTAAGCATGTAAACATATACTGGTAAATATTGATAATAACCATTTTATAACCATTTTCTTTATTTCAAGTGGGAAATATAGAGAGGCAATACTTATTAGGAATAAGTTCTTCCCCCCCCCCCCCCCCCCCAAAAAAAGAAAAAAAATTATTTCTTACAGGACTAACCTGAAAATAATGACAATAAATTATTGTCAATTACCAGTAATTCTCCAGACATTCCAAAATCATTACTTTAATTTCATGAAAATATCAACAGTGTTCATACTTGTCATGGAAAACCTGGAAAGTCCCAGAATTTTATTTTGGCATTTGCACAACTGGAAAGTCCTGGAAAAAGGCTTCTGGTCCTAGAAAGTTTTGGAAATCTTTTAGAATCAATTAAAAAATAAGAAATGTGTAGATGATGGTAAGGATAATTAACATTGAGATCTTGGAAGCAAAAGGGTCAATGTGTATTTTTGATTCCTGGAAAAAATCAATGTTACTATCACAACAATAATGATAGTAATAAATTACTAGTATTATTATTATTATTAGCATTATAAGTATTATTTTTAGTAGTAGTAGTAGTAATAGTATTATTATTTCACTCTATGGCTCACAGGTCATGCTAGGCACCCTTTGTTGGTAGTTTAATTTTTAGCATACAATAGGCCTTGTGTTATCTGAAGTGGTTGGCAGCATGTATTCTCTTATCAGAGAGATTTTACAACTCAGTTTTATAACTGTTCCAGGCTGTATTGTGTATATTTGTGATTTCCATCGAGAACAAGCATGGGTACGGTGGATCAACAACTCAAAGAATGGCATTAACAAAGACAAGAAAGACAACCTCCTCAACAGTTTGCGAAACCTTGCAAGAACTTCCACAGAAGGGGACTTCAATTTAGCACTTAGAGATCTTCAAGACAGTGAACTGTGGAGGACCAATACAAGACTCCAAAAGTGGATGAACACAACATGGCTTCCCGAAAGACAGGCAAGTGTATCCCTTGCATACATTATAATAATTGTAGAATTATCCCTTATAAATTATCCAGCAACAATTCAAGATTTTTGGCTTGAAAATTACACACATCTTATTATGTTCACTTAAAATCCTTGTCGCTCTGACTTTAAACATCAAACAGGCCATCCCCTTGGATGATGTCATTTTGGGCCATTAATCATTCAGCATGAGTCTGAGATGGGTCCAAGATGCTCTTACAAGGAGATCCACAAGATGAAAATCAGATTACATGCAGTTTATATTCATGAAGTTTACTTGGACACTTTGTTTCTATTGGCAGCGCTGGGTTTGGGCATACAGGAAGGACCGCTTCAATGTGAAAGTGAACACTACCAATGGTGTGGAAAGAAAGAATAGGACATATAAGCACCAATTTCTTGCAGACAATAGAGACAAGACCTTAAGTGGTGTCATCACAGTTTTAGTGACACAATTTCTGCCAAATGAGTACAGAAGGTAAGGAATCAAAAGCTCATCTTGACCTTAGATCTCAGTTTGTTATATATTGATATCACATGACTATGATTTTAGGTCTAAGGTGTTTTCAGAGAATGTAGATATATAAAAGTTTTTGTTCTACAAGTGAGAAGGATGTATAAAGGTGTCATGCTTACTCTGGGTCACACAAGGTGACCAAAGCATAACAAAAGCAACAACAACAATAGCACTGCAAACAACTGCAACTCATAATTTAGAATATTGTTTTATTTGTAATTTGTCTTCCTGATCCCAATACTATTGAATTCAAATAATAAAACTTATTGAAGCTTACTACCATTTAAATAGAAATCTCTCTAATGTTCTTGCAACTAAAACATGATACTTAAATTATGAAGATTGTATCATTTCTTCCAATACATATGCATGTATGACGTAATATAAAATCAACATAACTTCCCATTTGGCTATTTTATCAGATGAGTGCCACATTCCTTGTGTGGTATGAACTAGTCAGTAATAAAATACCAAGTCATACCTTCTGTTGATAACATCACCTGGATTATAATTTCCTTCCCTAGGTATGCTGAAAATAACATGCGTAACTCAAGTGCTTATCGCCAGTACAATTCACATCTTCCAAGGTGGTTACACAATCGACCAAGACAGTTTATTACCCACTGCTGTCAACGCCTTACACATGCACAATCAATAACAAAAGAAGACATCTCTCAAGAAGGAGATGGCCAGTTCCTTGTTAAAAGCCAAAGTGACAATAAGATTTCATACCATGTGCACTTTGGTGATTGCAGCAACATGCCTTCCTGCACTTGTCCTGACTGGCAAAGACATCACTGGCCATGCAAGCATTTTGTGGCTATCTACAAACATTTTCCAGAATGGGGATGGGAAGCAATGTCTCCTCACTACAGTTCAAGCCCCTATTTCCAGATTGATCCGAATGTAGTTCCACCTTTATCTTCCGAGGGATGTTCCTCCACTGACTGTACCATAATGCAGGATTCAACCCAAAAAGAGAAAGAAAAAGGATCAACGGAATATAGCAGTAAATGTACATTAAGTACAAAGAGTCCTGTAGCACATGAAGATTCAGAAAAAAAATCAGAGGTTGCTGGGAAGAGCTCCAAACAGTCAGTAAGCGTGCAGAATGAAGGAAGATGTTGCAGAGAGTTGTTGAAAGAAATTCGAGATCTCACCTACCTTTGTGCTGATGGTGGAGCCCTAGAATCACTTAAGCAAGACCTTCAGAAGGCACTGGGGAACTTCCGTCCCCTTGTGCCATCAGAAAATGGTATCTTCATGGAGGTTACTCAGCCAAAGAAAAACATCATGGCAAAACCGAAAAAGGCACCACTTGAAACAGGTCCTCAGTGCCAAAAAAAAAAGTATGCTCATTTGCCGCTCCGATTGAGACTTAAAAAAAACAGTCATCCTATTCAGTTACCTTGCCAGCCAAAGAAACCAGCCACTCTGCCACAGTCTCAGAAAAAAAGTTTCAATATCTGTCATAATCTTGCCAATAATCCAAAAGAGGTTTTCATTAAAAGAGAAAAAGAAGAAAAGGATGACACCCTGAAGATGACGTCCACATCTGAACAAGATACCCAACCCTTCTTTAACGAAAATATCACACCCTTACCACAAAATACAACTATCCCCATCACCTCAGGTAGATGTGATGAACCAAAAATGCAAAAGACAACTTCCACTACCATATTATCTACTGCAAAAGAATGTGACCAGCTAATTCCTGTCTCATTAACTGATGATAACTGTCCTGATCCAAAGTCATGATTGCATCCACAGGACCCTGGGAAAAAGAGTGACACCCTGAAAGCAATAGCCATTAATAAGGAGACCTCTGCTGAACAAGATACTCATCCCTTCATCAAAGAAAATGCCACTCACTCACTCAAAAGCACAACTATCTCCATCAACACAGGTATATGTGATGACTCAATGCAAGATACAACTTCTACTAACCTATCATCTGGCATTACAAAAGAATACAACCAGCAAATTCCTGTCTTAGTTATTGCTGACAGCTCTCCTGATCCAAAGTCATGGTTGCATCTTCAGGACCCTGAGGACCCAACCTCAACCCTGACACTGTATGAAGATTCAAAGGATCACATTTTAAACAAGACAACATGGCTGTGTGATTCTGAGATACATGCTGGTCAGATCCTCCTAAAACAAAAATTCCCTCTTGTAGATGGTCTAAGGGACCCTGTTATTGTGGGTGCATTAGTCACTCCAGCCATTAGTGAGTTTGTACAGATCATAAACACTGGCTCACACTGGGTTTGCCTGAGCACAATAGCTACTAGTCCTGGAACTGTCAAGGTGTATGACAGCTTATATCAAAATGTAAGCGCGGTTGCCATTGATCATTCATGTCGCATGCTATTGTATACTGGTTCTACAGTCACTTTTTCTAATGAAAGAGTGCAAAAGCAAACAAATTCAAATGACTGTGGCTTGTTTGCACTGGCATTTGCTACAGATTTATGCCATGGCCTAGGTATCCGGTTAGATCGCTCCATGGTTAGATCGCTCCAAGTCAGATCGCTCCATACCGAAGTCAGATCGCTCCACTCGAAAGTTAGTTCGCTCCATCAAATAAGTTATTTCGCTCCATACATAAGTTACTTCGCTCCATGTAGAAACCTAATACACTAACTTACTTCTGATCTACTTCTGATGATGTGTATTGCGTCTTGCGATCGGTCGAACTACCGATGTTGGAACAAGTGTTTCAGTGTGTAATGAACGTAGAAAACTAATAACCTAACTTACTTCTGATCTTTGTAGTTTATAGTTGATGATGTTGCTTGCGATCAAGTTGCTGAAATATAAAGTGATCGACGATTCGTTCACTTGAACCCACCAAAGCGAATTACCAATGATGAAATAAGTGTTTCAGTGTGTAATAAATGATGAAATTTCCCTTATCCTTCTGTCTTTTATCAACCTTCCACGTTAGTTTTCTTCATGGAGCGAAGTAACTTATGTATGGAGCGAAGTAACTTATTTGATGGAGCGAACTAACTTTTGAGTGGAGCGATCTGACTTCGGTATGGAGCGATCTGACTTGGAGCGATCTAACCATGGAGCGATCTAACCGTAAACCCATGGCCTAGACCCCACAGCGCAGTCATATGACCAAGACAAAATGCGCAAACACTACATCAACTGCCTGGACTTGCATGATATGGTTCCTTTCCCAAGAACGACAAGACGGGTACCATATCATGCAATCACCAAAAGAAAAGCAGTGACAATCTAAAAGTCTATATGTGGCTATGGTCTGAATGATTTGTAACTCAAAATTATGAATGAATTCAAAATTATGAAAACTATGAATTTCTCCGTCAGTTTTCTGCCTAACTCAGTTTTCTGCGTAACTTATTTTTCCTTGTTCTTGAGTTTGGGGTGCTTTAATATCATGATGAAAATTGCCTGTAAGAATTTCATGGATGATACTTATAGACCCACATTTAATCCATAGGTTGTATTCTACAAGTTCAAATTGAAATACTTAACATTTAGGAGGAAGCTCAAGCTGAATATTCGAATGTTGACCGTCGGTGTATTGTCATCACACAATCATCTTAAAATTGTGAAATATGTACATCAATTTATTTAATACAAGTTTGAAGGCTTATCATGAGATAAACTTCTGATTAAGTACCTCTTCAGAAATTTCTGTACATATAAGTTTAACACAAATGCAATTAAAATTAATACTTATCTTTCTCGAGTATTTTGATGTCATTGTTCTTCTGCTCACTTGGCAGCTATGAGGCTTAGGTCGATGGTGTGTAGGATTTTCAAGAGGTGTTGCCAATCAATCAGATCGACCGAAACCAGGTTGACAACTTACGAACCGGCCAAACATTTCGTTAACAGCGCCATCAAAGTATCATTACAGTCCAACAAAGGACCTGTTTTTCTGTTCAAATCTGGCAGAAACTGGCTCAGACGCACTACGCGAACTTCCAAACACTCGAGTACACTGTGAGTACGCGTCAACAAGAAAAAGCGGAAGTCACATTGTAAACTGCGGATACTCATACAAGATGCCGCTGATATGTCGTGGGCTCATCTGGTTTAGGACGATGTTATATAGTGCTTTCCATTAATCGTTGGCTCTTTCTCGAAACGTGACCTTGGGTCGCCTGTGACAAGACAATTGCGTAAACAATACTTGACATAATAACATACACAAAAAACACGGGATTTTGGATCATGTATTTATTAAAAAAGAATATCCATACAACTACAATGAAAATAAACATAAGATTCACCTTTCTGATCGTGAAATTAATACCATTCGCACTATTATCGTAGCTACGTTCCCTGGCATCAAGTGAATCCAACATGGCGTCTTTCTTCACTAGCAGTTTGCATCCATTTGAATTTTGTTCTTCAGTCTCACGGTAGAAGTGTTGTTCAATAGATTGCATAGAGTATATGCAGTTTGGTTTCAGATTTCAGATTTTGCTTTTTACAACGAGTTTACGTTTTCAACTAAGACATTGGCATACTTGGCATACAAGACATACAAGGCATTCAATGCTTTCATGGCTTTCAAGCGTTCGCGATTCTGTCCGATCCAAAATTACCGCTCAATAACATCTTTTTGTGTTGATTGGACGCGAACAATACGACTTGTGTATGCGTCTATAAGTATTTTGAGCGTTTGCCCCATAATGCTCCAGATAATCGTAATCCAATTACGTTGAAATACAAAACGACTGACAAAATAGTTTTATGGGCAAAAATCTCGTGTTCGTCATGTGACCCGGCCCTGTCCGTGCATGACAACGTCAATCATCATCAAGATAGCACGCGTGATCAGCATATGAACACCTCATTGGATCACAGTTAGTTGCCATGGTGTTGAGGGCCCAATGACCTATGGGTACTATTGCGCAATTTTTCCATTTTGTGGCGGAGGAAAAAAAAAACAAACAAAAAAAAAAACTAGACCCTGTGAGCAGGGTAACTGGGATACCTGCATGGTACTGGATCCTTGGAATCAAGTTTAGTGATACTACGGGTGTCGGATTAGTATACTGAAATAGTGAGCTCAAGTCTGGCTAAGGGCATACACCTATTTTAAAACATAGGCATGCTATGTATGCAAGAGTTATTTTTTGTAGGGTGGGTGGATTACTTGTGGTCTACATTCTTACAAAAGGAAAGAAGAGTATTAACGTGGAAAAGAACGAAAATGTCGAATTACCTCACACACAGGTATTTTGTGGTAGATTATGTGTGCTGTGTGAATAATGTAACCAAAAATAAACTGTATTGGTGCCACAGATACCTATTAGTACAAAATGCAGACAGCAGACCGGATACAAAATATGGAGACTGCAGAGTGGGTACAAAATGCAGACTGAGAATCTGAAGAGTTTTTACGTCTGGTAAATAATAAAATGTCATCTTACAGCTTACCGAGCGTCACGCAATCGCTTTTCCTCGATCAGCCTTCACGATTATTTACACTATTGTGGAAAATTCCTGGCCCATTTCTTGATGAAAATCGATCGTAATATAATTTCAAGCCTTCAATATAGTCTTCTTACTTTGTGCGCGAGTTGGTTTGTGTGATGTCTGTACAGATTTTACCAACGTAATAAAAGTAGATGATGTGAATAACAGTGATGGTAAAGCAAGCTTAAAACGGTAGAAATCACCAGAAACTACAACGGATACACAGTTCGCGACTCAATCCGGTCCAAAATTACCGCTCAATAACATCTTTTAGTGTAGATTGGCCGCGAACAATACGACTTGTGTATGCGTCTGTAAGTATTTCGAGCGTTTGCGCTATAATGCTTCAGGTGATCGTAATCCAAACACGTTGAAATACAAAACGACCGACAAAAGAGTTTTCTAAGCAAAAATCTCGTGCTCGTCATGTGACCCGGACCTGTCCGTGCATGACAACGTCAATCATCATCAAGATAACATGTGATCAGCATGTGAACACCTTCACCCTCATTGGATCACTGTTAGTTGTCATGGTGTTGAGGGCCCAATGACCACTGGGTACTATTGCGCAATTTTTCCATTTTGTGGCGGAGGAAAAAAAAAAAAAACTAGACCCTGTGAGCAGGGTAACTGGGATACCTGGATGGTACTGGATCCTTGGAATCAAGTGTAGTGATACTACGGGTGTCGGACTAGTATACTGAAATAGTGCGCTCAAGTCTGACCAAGGGCATACACCTATTTCAAAACATAGGCATGCTATGCGTGCAAGAGTTCCTTTTTTGTAGGGTGGGTGGATTACTTGAAACATTGTGAGTGATGTCTACATTCTTACAAAAGGAGAGAAGAATATTAATGTGGGAAAGAACGAAAATGTCGAATTACCTCACTCACAGGTATTTTGTGGGAGATTATGTGTGTTTTGCGAATAAATGTAACCAAAAATAAACTGTATTGGTGCCACGGATACCTGTTAGTACAAAATGCAGACAGCAGGCTGCAGACCGGATACAAAATATAGACTGCACCCTGCAGAGTGGGTACAAAATGCAGACTAAGAATCTGAAGAGTTTTTACGTCTGGTATATAATAACATGTCATCTTACAGCTTACCGAGCGTCACGCAATCGCTTTTCTGCAATCCGCCTTCACGATTATTTGAACTATTGTGGAATATTCCTGGCCCATTTCTTGATGAAAATCGATCGCAATATTATTTCAAGCCTTCAATACAGTCTTCCTACTTTGCGCGCGAGTTGGTTGGTGTGATGTCTGTACAGATTTTATCAACGTAATAAAAGTAGATGATGTGAACAGTGATGGTAAAGCAAGCTTAAAACGGCAGAAATCGCCAGAAAATACAATGGATACACAGGTTATGAGTAAGTTTTATTGATTTTACGAGAAAAATGTTCATATTTCGAAATATGTATCGTTGTAAATCGACCATACTTCGTTCCCTGTACTATTCCTTATAACGTGCAGTTCCTCTCGTAACTTAACACCGAGTCACACAACGCGTGACGCGTTCATGAATTAATCGTTGGCTTTTTCTCGAGACGTGAGCTTGGGCCGCTTGTTACTCCGGCCCAGGCCCGTAGGGCCTGGGCCAGGAGTTATAAATTCGGCTCGATTTGTAGTTTTCGACACAAATCTGCATTCTTGCGCAATATTGTGACGTAATCCCAGTACGCTTTGCAGGCGAGTTTTTCCATTTGACAGGCTCGTGTTTCTGTATCGTGCTCAAGCTCACGTTTGTTCAATTCGTTCAATTCGCTCAAGCTCACGTTTGTTCAATAAAAGGCACTGGACGTAGCCGTTCATTCCTGGCTAAAGGTAAGCTGTCTTGTGTATTCTTTGTTATTTTGAGTTGTGCTGTAGCTTTTTTCCAAACACTGCAACATTCTCTCACCGTCGAAAACAAATAAAGGTTGAATGCCAATGAATGCCTTGATACCTTGAATGCCAAACTTACGAAAGTACACTGAATGCCTGAACAAGAATCGGGATTAAGCTTAAACTAAAATGCACTACTTAGAACCTGAATGCCAGAATTCCTATGTAAACAACTTAGAAGTGAATAATGGCCGTAATTGTTGTTGCCTAGAGTCTACATTTACATCTGTACCTGGCAAAGACAAATCTATTTCAATAGAGGGCTGTAGATCTCGATATGCCGAGTTTATCCATTGTCATTGTGTCAACGGCTCACTCGTGAACCAAGCAGAATTCCAGTGAAACGGCTCACTCGTGTTTTTAAAAAAAGCAGGAAAATAAGGAGGCTAGTGAAAAAACACATCATCAAAAATATACCGCGGTCATCTCGAATTCATATTTATATTACATTTAGAAGTGCTCGTCCAACTGTTGATTTTAGTTATAACGCCCATATGTTCAGTGGAGATCTGGACACAAGGTTAAACCAAGAAAAAAGCGAGTTTTCGCATCTCACTTTGCTATAGCATCACGCAGAAGAAACCATAAGACTACTAACCTGAAGTTTAAGGTTAAGGAAAATTGTAGATTTCCAAAGGCAGTAAGTAAAGATATTTTAAAAGAATCACGTGTTTATAAGAATTTGAATCATAGGGTAAACTATTGCCAATCACTCCTTTGCAGAGATATAGAAAAAAATCCAGGCCCTGTCTCTGTTGTTCCCTCTCAAACACTTCATGCACCATATTGTCAAGGTAATGTTGCAGTGTTTGGTCAAAATGCTGGACAGCAATGTGCAGCCATGTCTTTATGTAGTCTAATATACAATGACAAGAAGTCAATTACTTC